CTTATTAAAATGCGTTTAACAAATGCTATCCTGTATAACCTATATGTGGTGTGCGTTAATAACGATGGACTCTGAACTTCCTCAAAATAAGCAACATGGGTTGGTAGCAGGGCTGACGTTACCTGGCAACTGAAAGATGACATTAACGCCAGTTTTATTTGTAAAACTGATAGCACGACACATAATGTTAACTAATTCTACAGGAGTGGCTAGGACGCTGTTATTATCCTGCGCTGGCTGACTTTTCATCGTGGTCTCAACGATGCTAAGTTAGCTAGGCACTGAAATCGCAGGCCTTGCAGGGTTACCATTAACGTTGAAGCGTTGTTGAAGCCATATTTACCTTGAAAGCGCCCACACTTAACCAAACTAATGTTTCCCCCAAATGTTTACTAATTCTATAGCTAACTATATTTAAGTTAATTATAGTTACTGTTCGCTATCCTACAAATTAGACAACTTAATCCACCTGACATTAGTTAGCATTAACGTTAGCACTCGGGTCTAGCTCTTTGGAGTGGGATAAAACAAGAGCAAACTTTACCTCCATGTTGAACGCGTTCACTGCATCCATGGTGGTTGGTTATACAGAAAACCGGGTTGACGAAGGGGATATTTCGTTGCTTTATCCTATCATTCGCGTGTAGTCATAGAGCTAACAACATAACAACCAGCAACATTGAAACGCTCAATTTCTGGTGTGGTCACATTGCTAGCGAAAGCTCTACTATGCTAGGAATTGCTACTAGCTTCGCGGTTCCACCCCGTGCGTGATTGCGCATCCGTAAACGTGTGACATCAAGAGATAATGATGCCTTCAATACTATCGGAAAATTGTCATTTAAAGTCATTTGGATCTCTTATTGTATGCAATCGCTTTCCCATATGTATTTCTTGATTGCCAACATGGTGATCAACTTCACTTTACTCTTTTCTTTCAAAAATCATAAAATTACCCGGGATCCACGCTTCGGTCTAACCACGATTAGACTATCATGGAGCGGCCATGAAGGCGGCCTGTCTGCGTAGTGGTGATCATTTGTGACCTGAGCCTCCAGGACCATTCCCACTGCAAAGGCTACTTCAACTGCTTGTCACCGTTTTTTACGCGAATGTTTATGCGGACTTCAAGGCTGGCCTTCATGATGTCCACGTATAGCCACTAATAGTAGTAGTATTGGTCTAAGAGTGAAACAAAAGCCTTGCTAAATATATGGGCTGGTGTTAACGTGCAGAAACAAGAGAGAGACGAAAAAATCATTCAGTTCATGGTCCACGAGCTGGCAAACTTAGGTATCCAACGCACAAAAACCAAAGTTAAGCAATGTGTTTTCTCACATAACATGTGACTGTGAAGGAAGTGTGTATCCCATTCAATTGAGAATCATCACTGTATATGTCTAACCCTTAACTCTCTCTATTCCTAGCAATTGATAAAACATGGATTTAGAGGAGGTCCTACTTTGCACCGCTTTGGATCATATTAGGAAAAATTGAGTAAAAAACAAAAAAAGACGCTGGATACACACTATTCTCTTAAAGTTGTCGCAGGTCAGATTTTTTTTTTTTACATCCAAGGCTAGGAATATCACCTGCTTCTCAGTGCTTCAAATCGTAAACACTAGTCAAGCCTTGCTGAGCTCCCGTTTTGTCTCATTCATGCCCCCAATTAAAACTGAATATTATTGATATCTAGTTTTTATGTTTGATATAGACACAGAAGCATTAAGCCCTGGTACGATTTATAAAGACCACAGCTGCAAAGTGAAAACTGGAAACACTGGTTCATGTTTCATCAGGTTCACAGAGAATTTTGACCATAATAAATTATACCCTTCTACAAATCATAGAAACTTTATTTTATCAAATAAAATAGCACATAAAACAATACAGATGTTTAGTAACTACTTTCTACTACTACTGTTCTTACAGAGACTCATTGACAAAGGACTAACAGTGACACAACAAAAAAGTTTTCTCAATGCAATGATCTTTTTGCCACAGACCTTGGTTGGAGAACAAGCGGGACCTGAGGATGGAAGAGTGAGCATTATTCTTATTATTTTTATTCTTATTTACTTTACACATTCTAATCCCACTACAGAACAGTAGCAATAGGCTGATGGCATTAAGTCAGTTACTCTTTATTTTAAATACTGCAGCATGGCTTTACTTAACAAATGTCGGCATTAATAGAGGTATATTTTCTATTTACTTAAAAAGAATTAAACATTGTTTTAATGTCTTTTATCTCTGTAACAGCATTTATGTAGCTGTTATTAACTGTGATTAACAGCTTGTATACTGGCTTATTTTACAAATTAGTTTTGGCTGTAAGAAATGATCCAAGTGACATTATGAAAGTCATATAAGTCATTTAATATTGCTTTATAACCTCCTGAACAGTGTTTGAATAAAATATTTAAATAAGGCTCTTATTATCCTGTATTGGATGATGTGATCTTCATAACTGGTAAAAACTTAATGTACCACAGCAGCCATAATTTAGTAGAGAAATATATATATATATATATATATATATATATATACTGTCTCTGCAGTTACACATAGTTAACTGTTATTCATCAGTGCCCATTGATTTATTTTTGCATTAGGTGGTATCAGCTGTAGTTTCTTGTGAATTTGCAACACAGTCTATATAAACCTATATAAAACTGTCTTTGATTGAATAAATATATAAATAAATAAGATATAACAACTCAGAAATAAACAAGGGAATACTGCATCATTCAGCAAGAAATGAGTGTCTTATTAGTCCTTAGAGGCTTTCCATTAATGGTCTGAAGTGGTTCACAACTGATGTGTTCTGGAGGGAACATATCCTTGTTTCTCTCACAAAGATTATGAAGCACACAGCATGTCTCTGCCATGTCCTTGACAATCTCCACACTGCACTCATTCCGTTTGCTCAGGCACCTCCATTTACCCTTTAGCCTCTCAAACACATGCTGGGCTACACTGAGCACTTGTCTAATCTGAGTATCAAACAGCTTTTGTTCTGTAGTAAACCAGCTTGTGTTGATGTACGGTGTCTGAAACCAGTGTTGGGAAGGTTACCCTGCATCGCCAAGCATAAAGCAGCCTCTGTCTGTCCCACAGATCTTGAGCAGCCTAATGGGGACAATTAATTGAAGAGAAATAATAAATAATGACAAAAATATTATCAATTATGACATGTCATAAGCAAAATATTTCTGAAAACAGAAATCAATTAATAATAGAAATAAAGAAATTTATGATAACGATTCCCTATTTTTGGCACAGGAACTCATCTCTCAAAGAATATATATAATGTGACACTTCCATATTATGGCCATTGCAATGTTCTTGCATATTACTGATCGCAAAAAAGTTATGGAAGTCTTCCACTGTCCACATAGTTTTAAGTCCTAGTATTGTATGTGACTAGGATGTGACTACAAACTCTCACTCATGGGTATATTAAGGAGAAGCTCTCACCGCTTTCATTCATGCATCATAATCAGCAGGGAGCCGATGCCGTCGACTCTGCAGACTCTTACTCTCAGCATCCATGTTTCGTGGAGTTTCAGGCACTAACAGACAGAAATAAACCCGCACATACATCTGCTGCAGCTTCAGCTGCCACGCTGTTTACTTGTATAGGCGCAATTCTCTAGACTTCTATGCAATAGAGTATTCACTCTCGGACCAGAAATACTAAATCTTCATGATCGTATCTTAAAGTGTGTGCTGTGCACTAGGGACGCCCCCTAGTGTACTGGAGTGGGTAGTACCAGGATGTTTTGAAAACTACCAAAGATCCATCAAATCCTAGGTAAAAAAAAAACAACTACTACTAATAATGTCCAAAAATAAAATAAAGTGTAATAAGGAGCGGCTCATCACACCCACTCATTAACTGCAAACAGAGCACCAGAGCACAGCATGAGGTATTTTCATTGGTCATGTCACCCTACCCACTCAGTTTCCTGGCCAAACCCACACACTGCATTCATCTGCTGAAATATAGTCAGCACAACTGACAGGAGGGAAGAACAGCTGGAGTGGAACAGACAAACATGTGGGTAAGAAGTGGAAGGATTTTTCTAAAGTCTTATAGACTAACTTTCTACAGATACTGTTTTTCATTTTCATTTTTCTCTGCTAACTTTTAAACAGCATTACCTCTCTCCCAAAATGAGAAAATGGCTGTAGAGAACTCCAACACCAGCGCTGTTCCCTATGAATGGGAATATTATTATGATTATCTTGATCCTGTGATTGTGGATGAGAGCAAGCTGAAACACAATAAATGTAAGTCTTTGTGCTTTCTATAATTGTGTATTTGTCTTCTTGTGTTGCATGAAGGTAACAACAATTCTCCTCTTCCCTTTCAGATTCAATTGTTATAATATTTTGGATAGTTCTGGCTGCTTTTGTGGGATCCCTCTTTATCACTTTGAATCTAATGTCTAGCAGTGGAAACTTAACACGGTAAGTGTGAAGCATCATCTTTCAATGTGTCACTGCCTTGAATCAAAGCAGAGGGAAGTGGGTTTACAATAAACTGACAGACAGACAGAGCTTGTGTCACAATGCTCTACAATAACATTTAAACATTTCCTCTTATTATTATTGCAGGAGTCACAGATGCAAAATCAAAGGAAGCCAAAGTATATCATCAGCTTGACCTGAACCTGAAGGAGAACACTTTTTATGGATACGTACGAAAATGTTTATAAATTGAGGTGATGAAGACAAATTCAGACTGATAATAATTTAAAATGCAGCTGTGGAGATGATGCCAGGGAAACAGAGAAAAGTTAGATTGTCAGTATGTTAGAGAGTAGTCAATGATTCTGCTTCACTGAATACCTACAAAATGCAAGGCTACATTTACCATTAAACAAAAATGGTCAGTAACTATTAATCATGTGTGTTAAAAGCAGTGTGTGTATGTGAACCCTAGAAATGAAAAGGACGAGAGCACAGGTGTGTTATTGGGATTCATCCTGATGGCAGCTTTACTGCATTGAACCCAATTTCTTGCACATAGTCCACAACATTCTTTGTGTTGTAAAACCAAAAGTTTACACATACAATTACAAATAATACAGGAACCATGTGTTAAAAAAATTGACAAATGTATGACAGATTTGAAAATCAACCTTTTTATAACAGAGGGTTTTATAAAATATCTTCAATCTTTTTACAGGAGCAAAACAAGGCAGAAAAATATCAGAGAATACAGTGTTTCTTTTCATTTGATCTATTTCAAAGAACACAGTTGTGTTCAGACGTCCTGTTTAACTCTTCAAGGAGATGATGTCATTACAGATGGCTCTGATGGCTGTTTGTGGTGATTTGGATGCTTTTTGTCTCTTAGACTTGGCTCTGGTCACCAAACTGACATGAGACAGGAACAGCTCTGCTGATGTGGCTCCACTCCACAACTCATGGATGTACAACGACAACAGATGCAGCCCTGCATCTGGAAAGGAGAGAGAACAAAAGGCTTAATTTCTTTATAATGCAACTAATTACAAATGAGCTTGAGGGACACATCAGAGAGACCGTACTGACTAAGAAAAAATAAACATACATTTACGTAGGTTTAATAATCCAAGACCATTAAAAAAAAAATCTCTATTATTATCAAGCAGTGGTGGAAGAAGTATTCAGATCCCTTTCTTACCTAAAAGTACCGATACAAAAATGTAAAAACTACTCCTTTACAAGTACATAAATGTCTGCAGCAAAATGTAGTTAACGTACTGAAGTAAAGGTACTGGTTTGGTCTCTCTGGCTGATATATTATTAAATATTACATCAATTGATTATTTATACTGAAGCATCAGTATGTAAGCAGCATGTTACTGTAGCTGCTGGGGTGGAGCTAGCTTGAACTACTTTTATATACAAGGACACCCGATAAATCTGAGAGACTGTGAGATCATAAATGGGAGAAGAAAGAAGAAAATGTTCAAATACACAAATCTGTTTTCAGTTTGGATTTTTGGTGAGATGCTGGACCGTTTGAACATTCATCGACATAAAACCAGGTGAGAAGTTTACAGGGAAACATTTGGAGGAGCTGTTAACTCAAAGACAACTAAAATGTGACACCAACTACAAACTGCTTTTTGTAAGACATCAGAAGCCAAGAAGGTCAGAAACCACTGGTTTAATCTTTAACAACGTGTTGTATAATCCACTGTGTAATATCTTCATCTTAAAAGTAACTTGTTACTAAAGCAGTCAAATTAATGTAGGGGAGAAAGTACAATATTTTCCTCTGAACTGTAGTGAAGTGGAAGTATAACGTAGCGTAAAATGGAAATACTCATGTAAAGCACAAGTACCTGAAAATTGTACTTAAATACTCTACTTGAATAACTGTACTTAGTTACTTTCTACCACTGTCACCAGGTACGCATATTGTCTTTGACTGATGCATGAGAGTGTGTCAAAATCAAGTTTCTCATCAGTCTTAATCTGTGTGACGTCTGTACTTTTTGTACTTTTGAGTGGCTTTGTGAATGATATTAATATTAATGATATTGACTACAAATGTGATACACATAGGGCTTTATATCGACTGATTGCAGTGTTTTGTAAGAGCAACACCTCAACAGCATTTGGGATTGGATGAGAATTAAAATAAAAGTTGCAAAACCTAACAATGTCTTTATCCAGTTACATTGTCCACTGCTGAATTGGACAAATGTTCTTAGGGCCCGAGCAGCGAAGGGTGCGAGGACCCTATTGTAACTGTAGTGTTAATTTTAAAGTTATTTTAATATCATAATGACAGTCATAGGACACATATGCCAGACTTCTTTCATTCAGAAAGTTTAGTAGTTAGTCTTATTTTGTAATGTATGGATTTTGCATAGCCCAACCTTCCCCCAAATTTCACTAAAAGTTCCTCCCCATCAAGGTGAATTTTTGTCACTCTTGTTAAAACCTTGGGCAACCCTGCTCTAAACGTCTCCGTGACGCCCGTGTGTCAATACAACAAAGAACCTGTGGTTGTATGCACGCACACTAGCAGTCACAAATGTGGGAGTGTGAGTCTGTGGATAAGATGACAGCTCTTACCATATCTAGACTGATCACGAGTGGCCTCTGGCAGGCAGGCGGAGACGACCGCTTGATGCAGCTCTGGAAGGTGGCCTTGGTTCTCCAGTAAGCGTATCATAATGTTGGTAAATCGCTGAAAGGTTTCTACTCTCGCCAAAACATTGGATTGACACTGAGCCTCAAAGGCCTGGTGGTAGAGTCGAAGGAGGTCAGCTTTGAAGCCAGGATCCAGCAACACAACATCCACAATTTCCCTGTGTTTTATCACCGCCTTTTCAAACCACTGCAGGAAGTCCTTTGTTCTGTTTTCATCATACGAGTCCTCCACCAAGCACCTCAGGGACCACTTGGTGAGCAGGTGCGCAGTATCACTGGCCAACCGACTGGGATCTAATTTGTCTCTTGGCTGAACCTGCTGGGTTTCAGAGAGGGGAAACACAGGCTCGCAATGAACAAAAATACTGCTGAGGTAATGTTTACACGCTGTCAGGGGACTCTCTCCTTGTTTCTCAGTTTCAGTGTCGTCTGCCAGGTTCTCTTTTTCGGTGCAGGCCTGGGAAAAGGAGCCTTTAGTTCGCGCCTTATCTTTCCCCATCCCTGAGGAGGAAGATGAGAACAAAACTATGTTTATCCCATTAAAAATACATGGAATGATCTAGATACTGTGAAACAGAACAAAGCTCTAAATTCTGTAGTTTGCAATGGAAAAAGTATGAAATGCAATGGCTTCATTGTAGGCCCTGAAAGCTTCGTATTAAATATTAATCATAATTTTGGGGAAATTAATGTCAGCCATTTTAGTCATCATCTCCTTCAAGCTTCTTGGTGTGGCAGAATTTCAAGAAGGATACACTCACCCAGCAATTCCTTTACTTTGCACTTTTCAGCCAAGACCTGTATTTGGGAACAGAGTGCCGTGTTGCAGGACAGGGAGGCCCAGCAGAGGAGCAGAGCGAGGGCTTCGGTGCAGGAGAGAGGCTGTGGGAGGAGTGTGAGCCACTCGGCCTGTTTATTTACATTGAGAGCTGTCCCACGATGCTTCAGGATGGAGCAGAGAGTCTGCAGGAACGGGCTGAGCTGAGCAGCCTTCACACCCAACCTGACAGGAGGAGGTCAAACAAACACTGACATTCTTGACCAAAAGACAGTCAACATTTGTTATGTGTGATGTCAACTTTTGTCAGCAACTTCTGACAGCCAGTTTTAAGGTGAAGTGCTTTACCGGAGGTGTCTGCTGATGGTTAACGCCACACACAGGAAGTCACTGATGAGTGGGAGAGGGAGATACTTCACTGAGCTCTGAGGTTTCTCCTCTTTAGATGAGGTGGTTTTAGCTCCATCCACCTGTTTCTCCTTCTGCCCGAGGTTAGTGAACCACAGCATGTGGAGCAGATCTATAATAGCACTTAGCAGCTGCTGGTCTCGATTCCTGAGGAGGATAATGCGAACAGACTAATGTAGAAAATCTGAAACTGACTAAAGAGATTATTGTGGTAAAATGAATAATAATGTCAAAATAAAGAGCCAAAATAATAAGGGGGACCTTACTGCGAAGCTTACCTTTTTTCAACCATCTGTATCATCCAGGTTAGGAGCCCACAGTTTTTGGTGAGGTTATAAGCTGCTTTGGTCACACGGGCGGCCTGGCACAACACCCTGATAATCTGTGCCTAGTGGAGAGAAGTCACATGCAAAATAAATCCGCATTATACATTAGCTATTTATTTGTTTTCCTTATGAAGTGTATTTCAGCACATCAATCACCCTGTCCTCTATCTAATCTGTGAGTTTTCATGCTTATGTTCTTAATTCGTCCCTTTATTCACAGAGTTTAAGACTCTGTCATTTATCTTGACTTCACTGTTAATGTGTTGAATCGTTGTGATTTCCGCAGTGTGTACCTGGGCGTGTTCATCACACAGGGGGCTGCTGCTGAAGCCTAAAAGGCTCTGAAAGATGCCTTGTTGGTCGCACAATTCATAGCAGTGTCCATCACTTATCCCTTCCTCCAGCACACCCAGGATCCACTCGCGTTCCATCTTGTGCTGCAGAAAAAGCAGACAGTGAGTAATCCTCCCACAGAAACAGATAACATCAGTCTAAAAAAAATAGCCTGACCTAAGCAAAACAAACAAGATGAAGGTTGAAAGTTGTTGACGTACAGAGTTTCTTTGGACAGTCATTTATTTGTTCAGGGTAAAATTCACCAATCAAGATTAATGACTTGCAGAACAACATGTTTTCAGCAGTTTCCTGTAATACTTTACCTCCAAATCGAAGCCATAGAAGAGCTTGAAGAACTCAGGGACTCTTCTGAAGTCCAAACTCTGATGGGACAGCAGGAACCTGTTTAAAACCACATACATGTGGTCCTCTGGAAAATCAGGAAAAACAAGGGGGAAAAAAAAGGGCGATGAGCCTGAGGCAGAGTCAGCTATTGCAGTGGTAGTATATTGTTTATAGAAATGAAACAAAGCATACATTAGTTCAGTCTAAAACAAGTCTTATATCCTTAAGTAAATATTGTGGGTGAAATGAGACTGGTCAGGGACTAACTCAAGTTTTCAAGGTTACTCACCAGGTTTTAACATCTGCTGAGCCGCTTTTGTGATGTAAGTGGTCAGGACAAAGGGAAGTCTTTGATTCTGCTGTCGGACTCCATTCTTCACCGTGTCCATCAAGTACAGCAGCTGTTTGACCGAAACAAGCCCGTAAGTGTTTCTGGAGGTGATTTCTTTCAAACACGCACACACCACCTCCCTGTCTCTTTACCTGTCTCTTCTCCCTGAGCCGAGCACCCTCCAGGTGTTGGTAGAAGCAGCTCAGCACATGGTACGCTGCCGCCCTCACCTTTGGGTCGTAGCTACTTAGAGCCATTACAGTTAATCCAAAAGCGTGGCTGGATACAAACTTGAGGCAGTCAATCACACACTCTGTCACATAGAGGATGAAGAATGCGACACATGTAAGCCTTGATGACCAAAACAGATGAGTAGGTGAAGGTAGGTAGGTTGAAATATACTCACCTGGCTGCAGTATGGTGCTGAACAGAGGCAAAAGAAAACAGGGATCGTACAAATTCCCAAGGTCCTTCACTCTGTTATTGCTGTACAGGGGCTCCTTGCCTTCCTATAAGAGAGGGAAAATATATATGTTAAAGGTCAGTTCATCCAATTAACAAAAAACATTGTCTCACGGACTACTAGTGGTATCTAGTCATACAGATATGTGAGGTTTCATGATATCCCATCAGTGAGATTTCTACCAAGCACACCAGTACAGTGGAGAGTCAGATTTCATTTTTGACGCTTTAAGAAATGAAAAACCACACTTGAAAAACCTAACTGTGATTGATTTGGAACTACTTTCAACCAAATAAATTGTTCAGAATATGTCAAACCAAAACTATCACCACACGGGGTATTTGAGAAAATATATTTGTGATTTGGGGAAACTGAGCCTTTACAGTAACTTATTGTACAAGTGCAGTTCCCGGAAAGTAAATATAAATTAAAATATCAACCTCCAGGATGATTCTGCGCTGCTGGGGAAAGTGTGCAATAGTGTGGAGCATCCTGTCACTTTTCAGCAGGGCCAACAGGTCGTCTGAGCTCGTCTGCTTCCACAGAGAAGCTCCCAGGCTTTTCCTGGTCTTGTGGTGCTCTACAGCTGCTGGGCCCCACAAGAAGGATCTGCATTTGGAAACTCAGGCTGAGTGTTTGCAACAAACAAGCACACTTTTTGCATGGACAACATTTTTTTTTTTTTTTAAACGAATGGAACTTACTGAAACTTCAGCAGACTGACATGGTTTCTTTCATATTCCTGGAGAAGCAGTAACAGATTCTGATCTGCAAAAACAAATTAAGATGTAAGAAGAAAAGACAACAACAAACACAAACTTGCAAAGGCCTTAGATTTCATGTTTTACCTGAAGTATTCAGCGTAGCTCCATATGCTCCCAAAAGTATAACAAAGTGACTGATGTTACAGACTGTTGGGCATTTCTTCACCAGACAAAGAAGAAGGGACACCAACGCTTCTGAGATGCAAACAAAATAAACATGGTTGTATTCAGTGATTGAGGAATAGAGCTTTAGGTTTGTAATGTAGTCTCTTTCTATGTGCGGTACCTTTAGCCTGATATCTGCTCGGCTCTTCATCAGACTCCAGCATGGTGGGCAGGAACAGGGAATGGCTGCTGGTCATCATGTGAAGGGTGGATAAAGGTATCAGATCCTTCTGGACTTCACCGCCACCATACAGCAGGTTCAACAGGCTGCTCAACGTGTTCAGGAAGTGGTGATCCCTGTACCGATATCTACAGTGGAAGAATATTTCATTAAGGGTCATTCATTAAAAAAAAAAAAAAAAAAATATCTGATGTGACAATGCTGATTAAATAGCAGAATAGATTTCAACAAATATCTTACTTCAGTCCATTCTTGACAAAGCTGTTCCATTCAGATGCAGTGATGTCTGCAGCTGATGTCTGTGTAAAGAGGATAGATTATTAAATGCATGAAGTGAAGACATAAATGTAGAGTATGTATGAGGACAGTAAACCCACTAGGAGTGTCTGCAGTCTTTCCAGGACACTCTGCTCCTGCTCTGCTGGGGAAGTAGCCTGATCTTTAGAGTGACTGTAAGAGGTGATGAGACACTTGAGGGCAGCAGATGTGACAGACTTCCTCCAGGTTTCTAGTTCTTCTGGGCAATCGGCAAGTTTCTCAGTAACAACGTCCACTAGTTGCCATCTGGAGGAGAAAACATTTAGGTAGTAACACGTAACACTGATAATTTGCTTTCTGTTAAGAGTTCATGATTACCTTTCAAGACTGTCCACTTTTTGAAGAGCACTGGGCAGATTGTTGATCAAATCCCTGATGTCCTTGATGTTTGCAGAGAGTTTGATCAGATTGGCTAGTGTTTCAGCAAACTGGCCTCCAGAGGCTTCTGTCAGGTTTCCCAGAACACACTGGCACAACTTGGTGAGTAGTGCTTGCTTCAGGACTTTTAAAACTTCTTTTTGCACTATAAAAACACAGCAATAGAGCATATCTAAATTAATATACAACATGTAATGACAGAAGAAAAGAGTGATAAATCCCGCTGCTGTATGCTTTTAATCAACAGAGAACTTGTTTCAGGACAAACCTTCTTTGGGTCTGGCTGGGTCCTCTCTACTTGCCACCTGTAAGTAGGTGTTGATCAGTGGAAGGAATGTTTCTGTCTGGCCTGAGAGCTTCTCCATGTTTGCTGGCTCTAGACACCACACCTCAAAGCAGAGGCGGTGGGTGGAGGAGTTCTGCAGCAGCAGGGAGCTGATGGCCTGCGTGTCTGAGAGAGGCTGCTGGAGACAGTGCAGCAGCACATCTGTGTGGATGAGTTTGGCACTGCTTGGCTCACTTGACAGAGTCTGGAGTAGGAACGCCTCCAGCGCAGGGCTGGAGCAGGACAGCAGCAGTGTGCCCAGGCCGTGGAAGTGTGCCTGTGTCAGAAAGCTGCTGTGGTCCTGGGAAGGGTTCGATTTACACTCTGTAAGGATCTGCAGTGCTGCATGACCGTAGACACTAAGGTTTGCCTGTGTGCCCTCGCTGCCGGGAGAGATGAGGCTCTCCTGGGGGAGGAGTAGCAACTTGGAGACCACCTCCCTCAGATTACAGGGGTCCATGTAGCTGTGGAGAGACAAGAGGGCGTGGAAAGGTCTGGACTGTGTCTTGGCAGCCTGAGAGCCCTTCTCCATTAATTCCTTCAGAGCAGCTTTTTCTAAAGCTCCCATGTAGCTACAGAGAAGCTCCAGGCGACTCAGATCACCAAGAATGGGAGCGCTGATCTTCAGCAGGGCCAGAATGTCATCAGTCAGCTGAGCACACAGATGCTTTAGTCTGACAGGGTTCAGAGTATGAGGAGGCAAAGCAGACAGCTCCAGCGCCAGAAACCACTGCTCCAAACATGGATGCTTGAAGATGGAGCCAAGAGCCGAAACAAGGATCTAAAGAGAGAGGGGCCCACATTAGATGCACTAAATCTAAAAATAGACATAAACTTCATATTGTTGGTCACTGTAAAAGCTGAACTTTTTCCAACCTGCTCTTTATCGGCTTCTACTGTGGATGACTGGTTGAGTTCCAGGAAGAGGTCTGATCCTTCTTGGAGGTCCTCTGCTATTGGCTCAGGCTTTTTGGTTTCCTGAAAACCAAGTAGCTTTGTCACCAAATCCCGGAGCTGTCCCATTAAGGTCTTCAGAATGGCAGCTCCTGTGTCTTTGGAGAACTGTGCAGAAAAATATGATGTGATGTGTACACTTTCAACTTGGCATTTTACTGAATAGTGAGCTTGTCTTACTTGTCTCTTACCGTGCCAAAGATTTCCACTGTTGATTTGATGTAGAGTAAGATCTGTTTGATTGCTACTGGAAACTCGGCCATCGAGATGAATGCTAGAGTTTCTTCCACATTTTTCGTGAAGGTGTCCTCAAGCAAAGCGCTTGGTCCTTGGCTATACGCAGCTTTCATCAGTGCAGTGTATGAACTAGGGGTTGGCAGACCCTTTGAAAGGCATTCAGAGGACTTGAACTGCAAAAAACAAACAAACAGAGGAACTGTAATTTTCTACATGATGAAATTAAAAGATCACCCTTTTTTAACCACTCTCTTGGTGGCACTAAAACTGACCAGTTCCTCGCGGCACTGCTGCGGTAGCCATCTGGAGTAATACTGATGAAGGCGTGTGACTGCAGGATGAGGAGAAGCAGCGAGTTCGGAGGATACGAGCTCTTTATCGTACTGCAGCAGAGCCAGACAGAGGGGGAGTGGCTCTCTCTGACAGTGCAGCACATCAGAGAGCACAGCTGATAAGTACTCATATACAACTCCTGAGGGAAAAAGAGACAGATTGTTATCAAAACATATCATACAATTACTTCTGAAATATTAATCAGAACAGAGAGAACACTTCAAGCATGAAGATGAAAAGTTGCACTTTTGATGCAGCAAATTATAAATTGTCAAGCTGCAAAAGAAAATTTAGGTCTGCCCCCAAAAACAGTTGCTCTACTCTTCACTTTTTGACTGAATAAGTTTTCTGTTTGTCCAAATTAAGACAGACTTCACCTTTGTTTGCTGGCAGTTTGTTTCGGGCCTCCAGAGCGGCAGGTACCACCACACTGAAGGGGAAGGTTTGGATAATGAGGTCTTCACTCAGTGCTGGACCAAATTTCTCCATCTCACCGTCATTACCGTCCATAATGACATCCAGCATGTCCAAGACGTCTACAACATAAGGTCAGATTGCAAAAAAAAAAAAAAAAAAAGTTTCACAGACATGCTTATGGATAGAAGAGATCACTCTGAGATTCCATCTATAAAAAATGCTCACCGTCTATGTGAGAGACAGGGATACTTGCAGCGTCGCCCTCCTGGCTACTCAGGTTAGCTTGCAGATAAGCTGCCTCCTGGACCAGGCTGGCAACCTTATCTGTGTATGTGTAGGAGTTGCACACGAGTTTCACCAATACCTAGAGTCAGAGACCAGGAGTTCAGGATCATATAACTGCTATGCTACGATTCAAAATTTCTTATTTTGTCTAACCAACAGCAAGACAGTAACAGGTAGAAATGTTGCGTAGATGGACTCACCCTCTCCAAGAACTGGATGACAGCCTCTTGTTGATTTGGCTCTACTCTGGCCAGCTGGTCGAGCCAGAGCTCAAGTTCAGTCCAGGTGTACTCAAACACCCCACTGTCCTTTAGCACCTGAATACAAGTCAGGAAACACAGAACAGTGGTTACCTTTTACCAACACTGCTGGGAGAAAATTTGGTACAGTTTATGTGAAACTCTTGCAGTTAAATATTAACATAGATATATTTCCTAAGCTGCTCTCACTTCATTAACTTCATAAATATGCAGTTTTACCACTGTATTATTACGCTTCAGGACAAACTGCTTTTCTTAACTGTAGGGACTGAACCAACTGCTAATTTACCCCCTGGAAATGATGCTGTACCCTCAGATGAAATAATACATTTTACAAACTGTCAAACTACAAACTTTTACTCTTGACATCTACTGCAGGGAGGAACCTATGCTAATGTATTTAAAAAGTGTATTTGAGTTTTTTGTTCTATTACATTTTGTTGATCATGTGGCTTTCTAATGTAAAGAGAAAAGTCCCACTGTTTATGAGGGGTAAACAGTTATCAAGATTTAAAGTTATATCAAATATCTAAATATCTATGTCTCACGTATAGTGTAAACTGAAAGCAAATGCACAGAGGAAAAGAGGAAATGTTCCTCACTTTCAGAACCAGCATCCGTGTGGAGGTTTTCAGGTGGCTGCTGCTGCTGCTGACAAACATCTTCAGAAGCAGGTAAAGTACTGACTTCTCCCCAGATGATGATTCAGTGTCTGCAACATCCTGGGAATAAAAGCAATACAGATCACAATGCTGATTACAGAGCAACACCCTCTAAACCACGATCACTGAAAATGACACAGTAAATCATAAAATAACACAGTGTAACTTCTTCACCTGTATGCGGAACCAGGAGAACTTGCTTGCGGGGAGATCTAAGGCCAGCTGCAGTATCTGATACTGCAAAACTGGGGGGACTTCCTCTCTCATTCCTTTCTCTGACACAATCCCTGCAGAGGTTAGGACAGTGATTCAGCTTGAAAGGCGACTGTTAAACATCACACCGCTACCGAAAGTCATACCCACACTCCACTCTTACCTTTTAAGAGCTTGCTGAAGTCAAATTTGCACTGGCTAACCAGATGTGGCACCACTTTCTGGTAGAGACAAATGACCTGAAGAATCAGAGCCTTGAGCATGATGACCTCAGCTGTCTCAGCATCTGCTCAACATAAAATACAGGAGTCAGTCCACTGACATCGCTTTTCTTTTCCCCTTACCTTCACAGGGCTGACCAGAATAGACAATATAAATGTACTGTAAATGTTATTACCAGGCACTTCGTTTTTATTATCTGTCTGTTCACCGCTCCCTTCTGTTTTGGCCTTTTTCTCTTCACCGCTTGTCTTTTCCTTCTTGCTAAGGGACTGCCACTTTGCGACTATGCTTGTCATATCTGGCAAAATCTGAAGCAGGGCACAAAAAGCAGGTACTTGAGTTGCTGAGTGGTGCCTCATTATTATTTGTGTGTACAATAACAGCACTTTCCTGAGCATACCTTGCTGAGTGTCTCCCTGTACTGCTGCACCAAGTCCCCCATCACATCAAGAGTGTACACATCCGAGCTGTTCCACTCAGACTTATCCAAAAGGTACTCTATATTCTTGTGGGCCCTTTTCAAGATGAAATTCATCATGGACAGAGTTGTGAGCTGCACTGCTGTGTTGGCAAGCTGTCAGATACAAGAGCAGATATTCTGAAAATAAATGTCCAAATACTATACATATTTAATGCTTTTTTTCCCCCATTGTCGGCCGTGATAATGAATTTATTTTATGAGGCTCGATCACTTACACTGAGTCCCTGTGTAAAGAAGGCCTTGTTACAGACAGGAGGAAGAGATATCACCATAATCATGGAGAGCAGGCGAGGAAGAGGGACGACCTCGCTGGTTTGAAAGACTGCAGAAAGCTCTGGTTGGGCCTGGTAGATCTGACACAGAAAAGCAAACAGGAGGGTTATTGTCTTTAAAAAAAAAAAAAAAAAAAAAAAAGCAATTAGCTAACACAGATGTCTCAATATAAACAAATACACTAGGAATAATTACCTTTTTAAGTAGCCTGACATTGTCCTGCCAAGCACTTTTGAGGCGGGGGGTGTATGAATACTGAGTCTCCTTGAAGTATCTGGCCAGAATATCAGGGCTGGCTTTCAGTACGTTCACCACCAGCTCTGCCACCAGTTCATCCTCTGTGGCCTGCTTCAGCCCCACCAAGAACTGAAGCAAGACAATGTTACCAGATCTGGAAAAAAATGAAATCACATATTAACATGAGGGGTTTTCAGAGGAATAAAAAAGTAAACTTGTCATCAGGTTACTTACCTGCCAGCTGTGCCAAGGCTGGCATCATGAAAGCTGATGCCATGCTTACGGGAGGAGCAGAGGTCAAGAAGGAAACTGTGAACAAGCTCCCGGATGACAGATATCCCAGCATGCTCTGAGTTCTCCGACATCTTACGAAAAAATAAATAAAAAAGTTAGACCCACAAGTTGAGAAACAAATTTGGCTGACAGAGCCTTCGTTTCAACAAACACAAGAGAAAAGCAAATAGCTTACTCTGTTATCATCAGTGGTTGCATCCACAATCCCATTCCATTTGTACAGTGACGCGATGTTCGCCAACACGGCGGGTGTGAAAAAACGCACTTTCTGTGTTTTACTTATGCCCTTGTTTAGTAAAACCTGCAGAAAGACAAACGACACAGATGTAATTATCAAGTCTATACACTTGGTTTTAAATGAAAAGTGTGAGCAACTGAAAACTTACTCTAGTCTTCAGTGTGGACAAAATGAGATTGACGACAGACATCCTGTCCTCCTTCAGACCCGTGCTCAGGATCTCTGGCAGGAGCTCTGACACACAAAATTAACATGTCATCGACACACCGGAGGGAACAGCTTGTTGTGTAAATTGTAATCCATATCTAATTATTACCTTTGATCTCTAATATCTGTCCGACTGTAGCATTATCTCCAGACACCAAAAAGGACAGCACAAACTGGATAAAAGCCATGCGGACATCAGGTTTTCCCTGGAAATGTACAGAGGTAAATGTAAGCATAAATATCTAAAGAGCCCAACAACTCCCATACACACTGAAAACCGGTAAAGATAAATGTTACATCACACCTTTTTGTCCTTTCTCTTTGCCAGGCCAGACAGCGCTTTATTGATGTGAATGTGACTTAAGACTTCTCTAGCAGCTTCTGGTCCTTGAGACACCAAGGCGGAAAGGAGACTGAGGCACTGACGGACAAACCTGTGAACGTGAGTTATAACAACATTAGGTCCATTGGCAGAAGGCACATCGTAAATTGTGCTGAGGATTGACACTAAGGGCCCTGTGCTGAGGTCAGTAGACCAACCTGTGGTTTTCTGAATGGAAAGATCCCTGCAGAAGTTTCATGTAGCTAGAAACAATCTTTTTCACAATAGCATTGCCGACCATGTTGAAGTGGGTCAGGTCACTGGCTGTCCTTAGAAGGATCATCTCCAAGCTCTCAAAAATCAGCATCATCTGGACAGAGGCAAGATTCAATTAGAGACTCACTGGTCCAAAAACAGGAAGTCAGCCAGTCCCATCCACTGAGAAAAGCGCTTCATCTTACCTCACTCTCTATATGCTTTTCTCCCTCTAGCAATTTGAATATCTCTGCACACTCCATAGAGATTTTAATATACCCTTCAACCACGTCATACAGGTCAGAGCATGGCAGCTTCTTAGCGGTTGATATGAATGTCTCGAGCCCTGCAGGGGATAAAAAAAAAATTTAATCAAAGAAGAGGAGAGGAGAGGAGATGAGATGAGAGGAGATGAGAGGAGAGGAGAGGGGATGAGAGGAGAGGAGAGGGGATGAGAGGGGATGAGAGGAGAAGACTGCAGACAGTGTGTGTGCAGGCAGTAGAGATGGTGCTCAAACACTGACTGCACCAAAGTGTATAAAAACACTACTTGGACTTAAATGACTTCAGCGAGATGTGTGTAAAAGCAACAAAATGTGCATATACACTCACCCTTAATGGCTGTGGTGGGCTCCTTTAGCATGGCTTTAAATACGGTCCCATTGAACTCCGCTACTTTTTCTTTTTTCGCCGGAGTGTCTGACTCCGCCGAGTCTTCGCCGCGGCGCTTTTTACCCATTTTCATTTTTAGAAAAACAGATTATAGTGATTTATAGGTTTAATTTCACTCCCCTGCCATAAAACTTCTGTCACAATCTCCCACGTTGTGGTGTAAACAGAAAGCTGTGCAACGAAATGTCGTCCGGTCGGAAACTTTATGATGCTGACGCTTAGTTCCGCCCTCTTTAACTTCTGTTCCCTTCATTGTTCCAGCTCCATTCTCTACAGCTCTATAAGGCTTAAGCTGCATTACCATTGTGTTCCCGATGAAGCTGTTAATACCTCTTCAATGTAGATCTACTAATTAGGCCTAAACAGCTATAGCCTATTCTCTTATTAGCAGCCAAAATACATAAGAGGCTATTATATACACACAAACAGATAGGTGGGTGCATTCCATTTACATTTGATACTGTGTAAACCTGCTTGTAGCCCTTTCCATAAATGATACACTGAAATACTAGGCTATTATTATTATATCAGTGAATCTTGAAGAATGTCCATTTGCTTATTGTAATATGTTATTTGTAGCATTAGATCTGTAACCACCTGGGAAAACTGCCAAGAAAAATGTTTTGGTCATGGTTGTTTTCTCCTGCAGTTATATATCTCAGGTTAGCAGGATGAAAGAGGATGAGCAACATGTGCATTGTCATAGTCTACAGTAGTCTGACCCATATGTTTAACGTTCGATGAGCATTAGTGTGCTAATCAATTTGACATTGTAGAACTGCTCGTTGCTCTATATCTTCTGTAGCAGCTGGTTTTGTCTCACAAGAAAGCATTCAGCTATATTATTAATGTATTAGGTTTGAATATTGTGATGAAGAGTCCTCATATACATTATGATTAGGTAATATCAGAGACAACACAGATGTCATCAATTTCATAGAAACCTCTTAACAACAATTTCATTTTGTAAATCTTTGAGAAGATAAGCGTTTCTGTGCATTTTTTGTTTTTGTTTTTACAGTGTCCAGTTGTCAACATACCTTGTTTTAGTTTCAGTCAAATACAGCATAATAATTTTGGGAAAACACATTTTCCTGAGACCACATAGACATAGTTGTGGTTTAGCTTTGCTAGCCTATTTTAAGCGTATGTGGTTTTCAACCAAAGTAGAGCCTCCTCTCAGTTATTCTTTCAACAAAGTTTTGCAGGCCGTGCCCAGCAATATCTCAAGGCTGATGTGAAACTGATAAGAGCCCAATGCTCATTAGTGAAACAATTAAAAACACAAGGTTTTCTGAAATATAAAATCAATTTTTGTCAAGTTGTGGTAATTGTCATGTAAAAAGTCTTGCAGTGTCTTTTAGTTTGTAATTGGATATTTATTAGATGATAATGAAGAGGGAAACTCAAGCAGCTCATCTGGTGACTGTGCTCAAAGCTTCATTAAGTAAGGCTGCATTATGTTTCGCTTACACATCACACAAAGACTGCATTTACAAATGAAACACATGTGCTGTCAGTGATTGCTGGGGTAGACAAAAGTTATTATTATTTAGAGGTATGAATGAGATTGTAATCTGTTCCACACAAATGGGAATGGCAGCATAAAATCTGCAGTATTCTCATGAATAAATGTGCTCTTTCAGTTGCCATTCAGTCACATGACCACCAGGGGTCACCTTTGTTTGGGTTGAGGTTGAACTTTGATGTTTGCGCAAACTTTTCACTGAGAATCGACTTACAGGTTAACTGGCTCACAGCAGCTGACCTGATTATACAAGACGCCCGATTGATCAAATGCCATCCTGTCCACAGACATGCTGTGAATCACTTTTAGAGGCAGATGCAACATGTCGTATGTTGTGAAATAGTTTAGTTACTGTGAGGAGCTTCCAGATTCACTATGTTAAAAGATCATTATGTAAGATCCACTGTGAGGTTGGGCCTGCAGGCAGTCTGCTATTGTCTGGGATGTTACTTGGAATCCTGGTGATTTGATTATAGCCCACTGCTTCGCATGCTATAAAACACATCTGTCTGTGGTGCAGAAACAGCCAAACACTACTTTGAAGGCATTTTTAGAATAAAGGTCTAAATTGGGCAAATAGGACTTTGCCTGTAAGACATTACACCCTAAAGTATTTGTGATATGACAGGGCAGCAGTGTAAAACTTTATTTTGAGGTTGTACTTCAGTTTTCCCAATGTAATTACACAGCTACTGCTAATACACTGTCTGATGACTCTGATTTGTGGGAAATAGTTCAAAGGGCTTGGGACCCATTTATTAACTCCCCATTGTTGTGAAGCTTGTAATGTTTAATTTTTGTTTATAGGAAACTGCATAGGTTTAAAGTGTAGAAAACGAAACTGTGACCATGTTGTTTTATGTGTAAAAGTGTTCTGATGTAACTTAGCCAAAATGTGATCGTAAGCTTGTTCACAGCTACTGACTGAACAGAATATTTTGCAAACGAATGCCTGGGTGAAGCATGGCAAACCAGATTAAAAATTATCTTTTATCATGGTGCAGCGATATAAAACTGTAGATATATAATCTAAAAAGGACTAAAATGAAAAATTAGTAAAACATCCCTCTGAAACTAAAATCTTACACTCAGAGTTACAATAAGAAAATGTGATCCTAGCCAATCTTCTGGCTTGACAGTTGAACGTGATGAAAATTAGTCTTTGAATTTTTATGCTTTTCATCACAGGTAAAATTTGAATTTACTTACTGGTGTCAAGACTGATGCTAATACAAACCCTATAACTGTGTTCATACTTCACATTCATCATGTTTGGCTTCTGTCTTGCCTATAATTACAGAAGCCCCTAATGCTGAACAATGTTTATAAAGAATAACAATTACATGTTTAATAAAAAGTCAGAAATAATGAACTAAAACTGAAGCCTTCACTCTTTCAGGCAGCATGGAATTAATCTTAATCACCTGATCTTTGTAAGAAAGGGTCTGTTCCCATTTTCTACACGATTTTTTTTCATTCTGGTGAAGTCTCTAATTCCTGCAGCCATCGGGAGTGCTGCCCAGTCACATTCTTGGTGGTGGAAATGAGGAGCCCTCTAGCACCTGCTGCCTTTATCTGAAGTCTGACTGAACAAAAACACAAGCCTGACGTGGCAGCAGTTCTAAATTTTTTCTGCAGTGTAGAATTTATGACAATAGAAGCACAGTGACAATAGGAAATTGATTTTTTTGTTCCATTAAAGCAGCCAGTTGAGACTTTGACCTTGCTTTGTCAGGAGATCCCTCCTTCAGTTACTTACTTGACCAAATTTTATTGACATGAAATTTTGATTTTGATTTCCAACCTCTCTCTGAATCAACTGATTAGTCTATGCACCACTGTAATACCCGCATTGTATTGTAAACTGCTGCAGAGCCGAAAATAGCATTTAAGGCGCCATGGTGACCGTAAACTGTTCACTGTTCACAGGTTAGAAGATATCAATCCCTTTAACATGTGCTAAACTGGTGTGTATTTGAACCCAAAGTCATTAATACACCAGAGAGAGAATCTGCTGTGCCGCCTCATTAGGACCTGTTGCTGAAGTGCTGCTGTAGTGGGACCAAGCTGCTATGTCGGATGAGAGAGGAAGCAGGAGTGGCACAGCTATGCAAAGCCTTTTCCGGTCCATAAATGCCATGTTTATTTTTGAAGTTCTGGCCTGATGTGCACTACCTCCTAAAATACCATCTCTGTGAAAGAAAATGTCGGGTGTACAAAGCCTGTCACAACTCTGTCAGGGATGGTCAGGCCGTTATAGCGCTGGGATGTAGGAGCGGGATGTTTGTCAGTTCAAAGAGGTTTGAGCCACGTGTAGCTCAGGCAGAGTGATCATGTCAGCAGCAGGGTAAACGCCTTCCCTTTTTTGCAGTGGAAAAGAAAAAAAAGAAGTTATTTATGACACTGGTCTCTTTCATGCCACAATGTGCTATACCACTCAGCACTGATATACGAAGGAAAAAGCATTAGAAATTGAGTAAAGCATAATTTTGCTGAATACATTAGCGTGGATATTTTTTACGAGTTATTATTTTTTTAAGGTTTATTACAAAGTTTCAGATATTCCCCTTTCTTTCATATAATACACACTTAAAAATTGCACACTTTTCTCTTTCCTTTTGGTGCAACAGTAAATCATAAGGTTATATACTATACTTATGTTTACTTCCTCTATTACGATGCCAGTGGATCTGGATAGAGATGCTGGGTGGTTTCCAAGGAGCTCTTTTCCACAGCTGAAGCCACTTTACCATGCCTGTTTTCACCACAGTGCACCACAGGCCCTTCTGTGAGGTTGCTGTGCTTCCGTTGTGAGCCTCTCACAGCCTCTCAGGCCCTGCTCACGATAACACTACAGCCAGCGCTGTTGAAGGATCAAAGATCACCCCACGCCTAACAAACAGCTAGACACTTGGCCTATCAGAAACATCTGGGAGTGGTCGGTTGCAGCTGTTGGTGCATGCCCACACCCCTGAAACAATCAGGACTCAGGCCAGATGTAGAGATCATCTCACGTAAGGTACAGATGTTTCTGTTCCTCAGAGTCTCTCACCACAAGGAGAAGTAGGATGCTTTCTGAAGTCCTATTAAATTTAGACTGTTTGTGCTGCACCCAGATTGGGTTCGGTGCCTTGGGATATGCCACCGGCTTGTGGGTTGTCACTATTCGGCAAGCTAATTGAAAACAGTGCTGCTTTCAAAATGCTTATGGAAAACAGTGGAAAAAAAGATGTTGTTTTTTCCAAATTGGTGAGTGTGAACCACTAAATATCACCTAGTTTGACCCCACTGATGATATCAAATGTTGCATAACCTTTTCATCCATTTGACATAATAAGCATTTGTATTGCAATTCTAGAAATATGTTGCCAAAATTTGATGCCTCTTTAAGTGATTTTATGTTTACCACAGGACAATCCACAACATCCCATATCGCCTCAGTGTCAAATCCCAACAGCTGGGAACCCCACTGGGGTTTTTGCTGTCACGCTCTTGTGTGGAAGAAACATTCAGAGAAGTAAAAGTGACAAAACCACCAGAGAACAACATCC